CAGCCCAGGAAGGCAGGGCGCCCCTCATAGAAGGCCGGGGCCCCCCCCTCTCCCGCCCATGAGCCCCCCGGGGCCCCTCGCCCGCTCTGCCCCCTCCCCTGGAAGGAGGCCGGGGGTCCCGCTGCTGCCCCCTCCCTCCCTCCCTTCCGCCCCGGGGCCTCCGCCGCGGGGAGTTTGGGGGGCGGCGGCGGCGGCGGCAGGGCGCCCCGACTCCGAAGCCTCCCCTCGCCCCTCCCCCCACTTCCGGCGCCCCCTCACCGGCTCTGACGGCCGCCAGCACCGCCCTGCGCAGCCCCGGACGGCCACCCCCGGCGCCGAAGACCACCACCAGCGAGAAGCGCTCCGGGGGCGGCGCCGGCGGGGTGGGGGCAGCAGCCGCGACGGGGCCCATGGAGAGGCTGCCCCGGACGCCGCCGCCGCCGCAGCCGCCTCCTCCTCCGGCCGCCACAGCCGCCGCCATCTTGGTTGGCGCCTCCGAGGCGTCCGTTGGCCCCGCCCACCCGCCGGCCCCGCCAGCGCCCTCGCACCGGCCCCGCCCCCTGCGCCGCCGACCGCCAATCAACGAGGGCGAGAGGCGCGGCTGGGCGTGGCCACCGGTGGGAGCGCCGGAGAGGGAGGGAGGGCGCGCCGATGCCGGCCAGACCCAGCGGGGCCGGAGGAAACCGCGCAAAGGGGCAGAAGCGTTGGCGGTTTCCTGCGCGCATCTGCGGTACTTCCTCCAGGCTGGAGGAGCAGCGGCCTCCCGGGGAGGGATGGGAAGGGCGCCCTCTGTGCATGTGCAGAGTTTCCCCGTGGGGCCTGCAGGAGGGTTAATAGATCGCCCCGCCCCGCCTTGGCTCCCCTGGGCGAAAGTTTGGTTGTGGCCCCAGGGAGAGACCCCCGCCTCTCCCCCTCCGCCCGGCTGGGGAGCCCCTTCCCTCTGAGCATGCGCAGAGCGTCCCGTTCCCCCCCCCCGAACAGCGGAGGGGTTTTAGAAAGGAAGGGCCCTCTGGAGACCCAGAAAGGGGGTTCCTGGCCATGTGCAGAGTGTCCGTCCTGAGCAAAGGCAGGGGAGAAACCCCAGGAGGGCCGATACGGAGAGCTTTTTTCCCGGGCTTATATGGGAAAGGAAACACACCCCCTGTGTCCATTTCGGTGGATAAACTAACCCCCCCAAGAGGCTGGCTCCCCCCCCCCGTCTTCTCCTTGGAGGGAAGGGAGGTGCCCCTTGCCCCCCCATCCCGGTCTCCCCATCTGCCTGCAAGGGGGCTGCAGCCTTGATTTGCAGCCCAGCCCAGGGCTATGAAGCCTCTTTGAGGACTAGCCACTTGCCAGTCCCTGAATGATTAGGATGGCTCTTGCAGCGTTCGGCCTGGGCCTTCTCGGCTGGGCCCTGCAGGTGGGCCTGTGCAATGGAGAAGCCTGCTGGGGGGCTGCTTTGCAGAGCTGCCAGGGGGGCCGCATGCGGATCCTGCTGACGCCCAGGCCCAGAGCGGCTTCCTCGGTCATCCGGCTTCTTGGTCAGTGGCGCTGAGCCTCGAGGCCGGACTGCAGCCCAAGGAATGAGGGGGGGGGCTGAGTGTGGGGGAGCCGTCTCCCAGCTGCAGGGAGGGGAGGGGCCTGGCTCCAGGGGAAGAGCTGGAGGGGAGAGGCGGGTTTCATCTGCCCAGGAACTCTGCTCACCCTGGTGACACCCCCCCCCCATTAATGGGACCCTTTGCTCCAAGCGGCCGGCCACACAGCCTTCTATGCGACTCTTTTACAGGTGAAAAATATGGTATTAGGCCTCAATTTAAATGTTCCACTTAACTGGCAGCTTTGGCGGATTCTGAAACTTTTCTGCTGATATTTTTAAAAGTTTGGTTTTGCATGAAGATGCCCCCACACACACACACACAGCAGGGGGGAGGGGCGGGGGTGGTCTGGGGCTCTCTGAGCAAGTGAAGTTTTCTTGCAGTCTCATCAGTCAAACTAGGGAGCTTCCGTGCCAGTAAGGAGGGTCTTTACCTAAACCAAGAAAAGAAACCCCTCCCTCACCAGGACTGGTGACCTTACCTAGTTTGGGCAATGAAACGTCTGCAAGAAAGCCACCCAGAGAGAGAGAGAGAGAGAGAGAGACACCCCCCCCTGGGACCCTCCGAGCTCCGCCCTGAGCCACCCGGAGCCTCCTCTCTTGGGGCCAGAGGGGGTTTGTGCCTTGCCTGACAGAGGAGAGGAGCCTTCAGACGGCCTAGGACGCCTGGGGTCTTCTCCCCACTTCTAAGCAGGAGGGAGGGTTTCCTGGGGTTGGGAAACGGATGCTGCTGCCCCCCTCCCCCCGCCTGGGTCCCTACAGCATGTCTGTCCCGGACTGGCCCACCTTGCAGGGCTGATGGGAGGGGCCAAGGCCCCCAATTCAGCCACACTGCTGCCTCCCCCCCTCCGCGCAGATGCCGCAGGGACCCCCCGTCTGCTGAAGAACGACTCCGCCTGTGGGACCTCGGTGTCCTCTCTGCCAGGGGGCTCCGTGGCCGTCGAGACGGCCTTTGGCGGATGCTACACCCAGGCGCAGGTAAGAGGGGGCCACAGGGTGGGAGAGGGCTTCCCGGGGCCACCTAGCTGCACAAACGGAGCACGCTCACTGCTCGTGCGCGCACACTCGCCCTCCAATTCCATGGCTCGCTTCCGAATGGCTCACGGCCCGGTAGGGGCTGAAGCCCGGGGGTCGAAGCCCCCTGGCCTCGGGTCTCCTGCTTCAACAGGGGGTTGGCCTAGAAGACCTTCGGGGTTCCCTCTGGCTCTGTTACTCCGTTAATGGCTGTGCCCTTTCCCAGTCAGGAGCTCTGCTCCGGCCGTCCTGCAGCCCCTCCCTTCTGGCCAGAGTGGCTCTGAGGAAGGGGCTGGAGAGGTTGACCCTTCAGAGCCTCCGTGGCAGCCCTGAGTGGTCAGAAGGTCCGGCTTCTTCGAGATGGGAGGAATTGGGGGAAAGGAGAGCAGCCAGGAGCCCCTCACTCAGGGGGGCTGGGCTGCCTTTTCCCCTCTGTCTGAGATGCTCAGGGGGGCCTAGCAGACGCCCCCCCCCCCAAGGATTGGTTTCAGGACCTGAAAGGATTCTGGAACACCCTTGATGGGCAGAGTGCCCCCCCCCATTGGCAGCAGGCCCCAGGAAGCAGCCGTGGCTCCCCCCAGCCAGCGCTGTGATCCCAAAGGCCATGGGGCTGGGGGCGGGGGGGGGCTTGCAGGCTGGGCTGGAGGGACCAGCGGCTCCTCCTCCCCCACCAGGATGGGAGCTATCGGACCACCCTGCAGATGGAAAGCCTTGGGCCAGATGGACGGACGGCCCCCTGCCAGAAGGAGCTGAGATGCCCAGGGCCACATTTAGGTAGGCAGCAGGCTTTTCTCGGGGGGGTGGGGGTGGCTCCCGACCTTCAGGCCCCCCCGGGCTGCTCCAGGGCGACACCAGTTGGGCTGGGGTCTCCCTGCTCCTGGTGGGGCTGTGCAGCTTCCAGGCGGGGCCCTCTTACAGCCCTTCCCTCCAAGTACAAAGCAGGAAGACCCCACCTCCTGTGCCCAGACCCCCTGCCCCACTCGGGGGGAGAGGAGGGGAAGGGCTGCTGAGGCTGTCCTGATACCTACCAGACACCTGCCCCGCCTGCAGCCAGGGAGGGAGGGGGGCGCCGTCCTGGTCTCCTGGGTGGAAGGGCACAAGAGGCTTCCCCCCTCCCCCCCCCGATAGGCCCTGGGGAGGGGCTTCTGCCTGCTGCCCTTGTGCCCAAAGCTGCTGCAGGCCAGGAGGGGGAGGTGAGGTCACAAAGCGGGGCTGTTGATGTGGGAGAAGCCCACCCTGGCAACTGGAGGAGGCCCAGACCCCTGCCTGCCTCCTGCCAGGCAGATGCCAGCTGGCATGGCTTCCCCTGCACTCCTGGCGCTTCTGATGGCTGCTACTGCCAAGGTGGCCCCTGCTGGGACCGGGTGGGAGCCGCCGGCAGCAGTGGCGCTGCCCGGGGGTAGGTGCGGGGGGGTCAGCCGCTCCCAAGATCCCACGCCTGCCCCACAGGCCAACCCCACATCCACCCCCACCAAGGGCAGTGAGGGTGCTGGCTCTGGGTGCCTGCAGGGAGGGCCCTTGGCCCAAAGGGGGCAGCTCCCATCAGCTGTGGGTGCCAAGGGGGGGGCGGCTCTGGGCTCCCCCGGCCCTCCTGGGCCAAGAGGCAGCCAGACTGGGGGTGCCCAGGGGCCCCTCCTGAGCTGGGCCTCTGCAGAGGGAATCTTCCTGGTGCTCCTGCAGGGGAAGGGGAGATGCCCCATGGCCGCCCTCTCTCCTGCCCCCAGTGCTGGATCCCCCCAGCCCCAGGCGGTGCTCAGCGGTGCAGATGGCGGACCGGCTGCCCTGCAGCTCCCAGCGGCTCAGCCACGGACGGTGCTCCCACCTGGGCTGCTGCTTTGACCCCCAGGACAGGCTGACCCCCTGCTACTACGGCAAGACAGGTGCAGCGGCAGACCGCGGGGGCCGAGGGAGGGGGGCACCACTGTGGCCCCTGGGACGTCCCGGGACCNGTTGTTGAGTGAATCCCTGCCGTTGTTAGTAACACGGTCGTTAAGTGGATCTGGCCTCCCCATTGCGGGTCGGAAGGTCGCAGAAGCTGATCGCATGACACACACACCCCTCCAGGGTCATCTCAAAAGGCGTATAGCTGAATGTCTGTAGAGATTCTCAGTCTTCCAGGTCCTGGTTGCCCCAAAGGGCTTTTTCAGGAGGCAACCGGACTCTCCTGTTTTTCCTTGAAGACGTTTCGCTCCTCATCCAAGAAGCTTCTTCAGCTCTGCCCGGATTGGGGGGGGGGGGAAATGGAAGGGTTTATATTCAGTTCCAAGAAGATTACACCTCCATTGGCATCCTGAGGGGGCAGATGGACCCCCAAGCGGCCTCAGGGACTCTCCGAGAGAACAGCAATGGGTATAAATCCTTCCATCCTCCACCACTCAGTCAGAACTGAAGAAGCTTCTTGGATGAGAAGCGAGACGTCTTCAAGGAAAAAGAAAGGGAGTCCAGTTGGCCCCTGAGAATTGTTAACCTTTGGGTTCACAGTGGTAGCAAAAAAAGATTGTACAGTTGGGCCCCCCTCACTCGGCCACGGAGATTCTGGTCATAATTGTAAGCCAAAGACCATCCGTATTGCATTTATATTTTATGTATATTTACGCCACATAGTTTGAGTTAAAAGACACCAAAATTGCTACTTATTTCTTTTCAAGTTAAATAAAAGGAGGGGGGGGAAAGAGGGGAAATCCAAGATTCCCAAGCATGCTGGCTCAGGATGATGGGGGCTGTCACTCCTCCCTCCCAAGGCAGCCAACTTGGGGCCTTGAGAAGGAAAGACTCCCGACTCCATCGGTGGGGAAAAGGTTCCTTTGACCAGAAGCCAAGCGGTTCGGTTCCAGTCAGCGAAGGCAGAAGGAAGAGAAAATCCCTTGAGGTTAACTTCCCCTTCCCCCTCTCCC